TTGTATAAATTTCTGTCCCAGTTTGCTCACTTCACTGTGGCAAGCCATGCCATTCAGGATTCCCTGAATTTCCTCATAGTTATATCCCACCATTGGTTTGGCTTTTCTCCAACTGTCTAAGAGATCTTGAAATCCACAGCACCCCCTGTAGATAGTAGTTTTCTTTTTCACACTTTTTAATATACCCTTCTTCAGGATCAGAAGTTTCTTTTACTTATGACTATTCCCTCCCTCATACTATCTTCCTCTTAATACCCTCATCTTAACTTTTCTGCTTTTTTTCCCTTTGAAATTTAAATCTCTTAATAGCCTGGCTTTTTCCTATACCTTTCCAAGTCTTACAGAATTAGGTGATTTAGCTATACTGGCTTATTTTTGACATTCCACACATGAAAGATCTTCCATAGTCCTCCATGCCTTTGTACTCAGCTAGTCTTCCATATCCAGAATTTGATACTCTAACATACTCTTACGGCTGTGGTACAGCTGTCAAAAGCAGAGAAAAAAATGGTATCAACAGTGTGGGACCTCCAGCAAGCTTGCAGGCTTTGGATGACTCTGATGAGAATTCCTCAAACTACCATAAAGTTTTTTCTTATACTGAGTTGAAATCTTGTTTTCTAGAAGCTTTCACTGTTCCCCACCCCCTACAATGGTTCTAGTTCTGACCTCTGGGACCACGTAGAAGAAATCTAATTAAGGTTCTTTTCAGAGGGATCTAAGCCACTACTTTATAATTACTAAGGGTCTTTTGATGGGGGGGGGGGGGTAAGGATGGGAAGACCAGCAAGACATAAACCAGAATTGGGAAATTTCATAAGGTTACTCAGATTTAACAAATTTTTTCCCCCCTTAATATAAAGTTTGACTGGTTACATCATCTTAGAATCAATTGTTATTTTCTTAGCTATCCACTGGGAAATAATTCAGGGTGACTAATTTTTTTTAGGCATGATGCAACCCTGTCTTTGTTTTAAGAGTTTTCTCTCTCTTTAAAAAGGGAAAAAAAAAAGCAGAGCTATTTCCTCTTGGAAAGCTTTGTTTTGTTTCTGAAGTCAACCATGACAGTAACCACTCCCCTGACAACCAACTCCAAAAAGAAGTAATGTAACATGAGGGTCTGAGGAGTCTGTGCAGGTGTTTGAGGCAGCTGGGCACTCAGGCCCTTAAATGAAACTATCATTATATCTTGGTTTTAATCAGGCCCTTAAATGAAACTATCATTATATCTTGGTTTTAATGTACCAGACCAGTCCCTTCTAGTTATCTCTGAAGCTAGGCACTCCCCCAGAGCAGACCCTGGAAATCAGGATTTGTAGGCTCTAAACTTTATGGCTCTGTATATGGGAAGCTTAGGGGTAAAAAAACAAACCAAAAAAAAAAAAACCCCAAAAACCTAACCAAAACCATAAAAGGAAAATTACTGATGAAGCTCTTAGCTTAGTACGTGGCACATAGTAAGTAAGCTCTATGTAAATGTTAGCTCTTATTATTCTCATTATTATTGTAAAGTCAGAATTTTAGAGCTGAAAGAGACTTCAGAGGACATCTAGCTCAACTTCCTGATTTTACAGTGAAGACATCTAAGGACCAGAGAAGTTAAATGATATTTAAGTCACACAGTGAGTTAGTAGCAAAGCTAGGTCTCCTCTCAGTCTAGAACTTTTTCTACTCATATCATCACCAGCTAGTCACTCAAGCAACTAATTAAGACAGGCGTATAATATTTAATTTGAAAACTGGATCAATGGACTCTCCAGTATTAAAGCCAACAGTTTTAAGTGGAAATATAGAGCCAATTTACACACAAGACTCATTGTTTGGAAAAATACAATTCCACTCCTTGAACCTTTGTACTGGCTTTTAAAAAAAAAAAAGGAAGTAAGGTTTATTGGACTCAATACTACCTATCTAGGAAGTTCATACAAGCTGAAAGTAATCCTATTTCCCAAGATTTCAGAGGTTTATGATATACAGCTTTGACCAGCCGAATTAATAGTTTAGGAAAAGGATTATCATAGCACTTCAGAAAAAACAAAAACAAAAAACAACTTTGTGTTTTAAAAACTGATAGGTAAGGGGTTTTTTTTGGGGGGGGGGCACAGTATATTTGTATTCTTAAAAGTTATTTGGCCACTGTACAATTCTCAAGAGAAATTTTGGGGACCCTCAAAGGTAAAAAAAAAGTTAATAAAAAACTGCAAATTACAAATTGTCTTTCACACAAAGATATAGGATGCTCAATAAATATCAGCTGATTTGAATTAGCACTGATGTTTGCTTTCTATTCCCGACTACTCAAACCACAGGTATCACTATGAGCTTTACTACTGTGCACCTGTGCGATGAGCACTACCAAAAGGATACAGAAATGGCCAATTTATGTGAAAAGATAACAGCTGACACCCATGTTTTATTCTTCCTTGACTGAGCTTTAAGACTATACCTATTCTCACAGCAAGCAATCAGTGAATCCTGAAGGAGTAAGAAACACTGGCTAGATTTACAAAGCTTCTTGCCATAAGAACACTAAAACTGCTAGCTTAAAATGTGTCCTAATCACCCAAATATTGCAATGAATGACTTTTTCTTTCCTTTGACCTCACTGAAATATCTGACACTGTTAGCATTCTCTCCCCCTTTGGGTTCAGACAAGCCACAAACCTTGCTGGATCTCCTAGCTTTCTCTACTGTTCCTTCTTTGGTTCATCATCTTTCCATCCCCTTAAATGTGCACCTTATACAAAAGGGTCTGTCTCACAGGTTCAACTATCAGTTCTACACAAATTATTTAAGGCAGCTAAGTGGTTTCAATGGATGGAATGCTGGACCTGGAGTCAGGAAGACTGAGTGCCAATCCAGCCTCAGATTCTTGCTTTTTGCAGGGCCCTGGGAAAATCACTTAACTGCTGCTTGCCTCAGTTTCCTTACCTGTGAAGTGAGGATAATAATAACTAGCTCCCAAGGATGTTGTGAGGATAATATGAAGTATTATTTGCAAAAAGCACTTTGCAAATCTCAAAGCGCTATATAAATCCTGGCTACTATCATTATATTAGCTATTTTCAGCTGAGACCTTGCTTATATTTTCCCCAAATCTGTTTTTGACGTCACTCTGTCAGCAGAACCACCATTCACTCATTCTCACTTGAATTCTTCCCCTTAAGTCTCACCAACACTCCTCTCTATTCCCAATGCTGCAGTTCCTTCATTGACAGCTATAAGCACTCTGATTCCAAACACCACCACCACCACCGCTACCACTGCTGCTGCTGCCCCCCCCCAATATTCTTCCCATTACTGCCAAACAACTTCCTAACTCATGCACAAACATCGGCTTATCACTCCTGCTTTTTAACGCATACCAAGCAAAGTTTAAACTTCCTTACTTGGTTAAGCAGTAGGTAATGTTTTTGCTTCAACCTACTTCTATGCTCTAGCAGAAATGGACTCCTCACTGTCCCCCAGATATTTCGAGCACCTTCTCACCTCAAGTGTCTTGGCTCATGTTATTCTGTGCCTGGAGTATCCTACCCTCCTGCATACTGAATTCCCCTCACAGAACCCAAATGCCACCTCCTCAAAAATAGAGTAGTAATTTTCTTCATCAAGGCATCCTTTATTCTAACACCTGCAAAGGGAAAGCCAGTGAGCTCTTTACAAAACACTTCATCCGGTCCTTACTACAATGCTGGGAGGTTGGTGCTAGTGCTCCCATTTTACCGATGAGGAAATTGAGGCTGAGAGAGATTAAGTGACTTGTCACACAGTAAACTGATTTGAACTCTGATCTTCCTAGATTCCAGATCCAAATGTTCTATCCACTGCCACCCAGCTACCCTATATCATTCTGGGAACAAGTAACATGGTTACAGCAAGTTGAGCAGGTGTTCCACCTAGAGACAGCAAAGTCCCATGGGAAGGACAATTTCCCATAGCCCTTCAGGGCTGACATGAATTGAACCTACCGGATTCTACGGTTACAAATGAGTAATTACTTTTCTCTCCAAGGAACTCATACAGCACTTTCTCTTTCATCTTTTTTATGTTCTTACCTATTTTTTTTTTATCACAGCTAACTGTGTATGTATTCTATTCCAGGGTGAGTTTAGATGGCCAGGGCTGCTGGGTACTGTCTCACCTACACTTTTTGCCGTATATCCAGCACAGAGCTCTACTCACAGTGGGCACTTAGATGCTTGTGGACTCCAAAATCTGCTTAATTTCCCAACAAGTTTCCCACTCTTAACTTGATTAAATGTACTATTTACATTTTTTTTGTAGACTCAGCAGAAAAGGTGACAACCCCAAGTGGGGGGGGGAACTCATCATCTTATTGGCTGCTGATTCAGAGTGGGAGGGAACGCAAAAAGTGAGACCCAAGCGATCCCCGACTGCCACCAGCAAGCCTCGGTTATCACGCGATCAGATGGAGACAAAAAAAAAAAAGCGTGTCAAGCCAGGGATAGCAAAGCCACCCATCTACGGATGGACAAGCATTCGATACGGAGCGCCTGTTAACGAGCCAGACGGTGCTGGGCGCTGTGGGCACACGCGGAAAGAAAGAACAAACTTCCCGTCCGTCATTTCTACCTCCGGGGAACCTTCAGAACTTCGCTAGCAGCCCCCGACTCTGGAGAAGCCCGGCGTTTCTCGCTGGAAGCAACTTGAGAGATGACGCCCCTTTCGTTTTATACGGAGACGGGGGAAGGGGACCTGCCCCAGGCAGAAGCAGGCAAGGAGCACCTAGTAGGCGCCTTCCCTCCGACACCCACTGCCCCCCACCCCCTGCCAGCCGCCCCAGCTGTGTCCCCGGCCGTTAGCAGCGGGGCCGGCGCGAGGCAACGGCCGTGTCCCCCCAGCCCCGGGTGCCCCCCGCTCCAGCCGGGCGGCCGCCCGCCCACGGCCGTCCCCGAGCGAGCGCAGCAGCTAAGCTGCCCCCCCACCGCCTGCCCTCCCCACGCTCCCCAACCCCCCGCGTTCCTGGAGGTTCCACTTACCGGGATGATGTTGAGTCCCTGCTGCTCCGACGCCACCATCAGGATGTCCCGGAAATCCATGGTGCCAAGCCTTGTGGACGGGCCGGGCCAGGGCAACACGGAGGCTCGCGGGCGCAGCCGGGCGCCCGGGCGGCTACAGCTGCCCCCTGAGCTCCCCAACCCGCGCCCTCCACCCCACGTCTACTTCCGGCGCTTTCCAAATTTGGAAGACCCCTCCTCAGCCCGCACTCTGCCCTCCCCCGTTCCGGGGCAACCTATAATATTTCGGTTGCGTCACCCCGTTTCGTGCGTCACTCGGGAGAGCTTCCGCACTCTGCGCCGGATACACGTTGAAGAAGGTCAGGTGACTTTCGGCCTTTAGCGACCACCTGGAGGGGCGGGATCAAGCCTTTCGTAGACCAATGAAGCGCTACGGCTGCGGTTCAGGGGGTGGTGAGTGAGGAGACTGGGGCACAGGCGCACTGGTCTGCGGAAGTTGGAGGAGATATCCACGGCTGTGCTGGCTTGAGCTTCGCTGTTCGGTCCGGCCGAATCGTGGACTCCGGCGGTGGTCTTGCTGGGGCCGCGATCCGAATCGGCTGCAGTCGGGTCCCTCCTCGCGAGAGGAACTGAACTATGTCTCGACGAGCTGACTTAGATGACGCTGGTTGCGCGCGCCTACCGGCTTCACTCCTCCGAGAGCCTTGCCGGCTTCACGTTTGCGTTCGTGCGCTGTCTTAAACTCGCGTGAACTGTCCCCAGTGCCCCTTCCTTCCTTGGTGCCCGAAGGTAGGCGCACCTGAGTTCCAGGCCCCTCCTAGGTTTCCAGCTGAAGTTCAGAATGAGCTGAGGCTGTCAAGTAAGGCCAAGCCTCGAAAGCGGCTTTAAAAAGTCGTGGTGGGCAGTGCGGGAGTGGTTGGTGAATTGATGAGGGGGTGAGGAGTGAGAGGGGGAGTTCGAGAAGTGGCCCCAAGTTGTCAGGGAGAAAAGCCTTTAATAAATACTGGATTTTGGTACATCGAAAATCCCTAAACTTAAGGAGTTTTTTTTTTTGAAACATTATCGAAATCTTCTGTTTTTACATCCTTTTGATTTCCAAACAAATCTATCCTCTTCAACTAGGGAGCCATGTTTCATAAGAGAGAATAAAAGAGAAAGAGAAAGAAAACATTTCAGCAAAACCAACCACTTCAGTCAGTTCTCATAGTACATGCTGTATGCCACCTCCATTGTCCCTCCGAAACTGCATCTTTTATTTGGATCCAAGCTTGTTCATTTTAATTAATGTCAATGGGACCAGAACAGCGTCAAACCTGTGGATAGCCCTAGCGGAACAGAACAGACCAGAGACAGGAGAGTCAGGAATCAAACAAGTTTAATTTCAAAGTGAGGGAAATGGCTTGGAAGCTAAGTCCCCCTTCCTAAGAAGGGAGGAGGGGAGGGGGCTTACCCGATTATGCAGGGGTAGGGTTTTTAAGAGTGAAAACCACAAACGGCTTGACCACAAGACAGGCATTCTTGGGTCTTGTATGAACAGTCTCCAAATCGTTAGGGTCCTTGAGCCTTGTGATTGGTCAGCGGGACACAGAACCAGGGTTAGCATGGCAGGGAGTAGAAGCCAGGCACCTGGTTCGATTTGCTTGTAAGAAGGGATTGTTAGCATGTCAAGGGTTCTGACTAATCACTTGGACTGCAACCTCAGATTCCAAGCCAGGGCCCCCTAGAAAGTGGGAAAGCTCCAACAGCTTCGATTAAGTCATCTAAATAGTGTAGTTATAAATACTGTGATCATTGCATATATTATAGCAATTAATATGAAAAGTATAGATCTCACTACAACATTACACAGCATTATGTTTCCATTTTGTTCTTTCCATTTACCTGTAGCATGAGAGGGCTGGATTCAATGATCTTTAGAGCATCTTCCCACTCTTAACGTTATGGAATTTGGTAATAAAAACTTAGCTTCTGTCTGCTAGACTTAAATGTACTTAGGTCCAATAAATTATACTTCATCTCTTCATCTGAGTGAAGGGCAGTATTAAAGGGTTCTGGAAGAACCGTGCCAGAGCCTGGTTTTAGGAGGAGTCAGCTTACAGAAGCCTTGGGTTATTTACTTGTGGTGCAATTCTTACAGACACCCAGAGCTATCATTTTCCTCATTCCTTGCAGCTATTATAGGAATTGTGGTCTTGATTCAGATTGGCAGTGACTGTTATTTTCTGGAATTGGAGGCAGGGCTCTGAGGAATCACCCAGTAGTGTCTCTAGTTGATTTTAAAAACAAAACAAAACAGTGCATAGGCTACCAACCCACACCCTTCAAAATCCAATCACTATGAATATGTTTATTTTTTCCCATAGAGTAATAACTGCTCTGTTAAATTAGGGCCTGTCACAGAATGTGGAATGTGTTTGGAGAGTTTTAAAAGGAGGAAATGTGATCTGTTTCTCCTACCCATTTCAGTTCCCAAATTTTGCCAGATAATGCCTTCCCCCTGTGAGGTAACCTCATGTGGTAACCAAGCATCTGCACTAGAAATGGGAAAAGGAGAAAGGCCACACTTAAGATATATCCCTAAAGAGATTTATTTGAGGGTTCTGAGGGGGGAATAAACTTCCAATATACCAAGATACTAACTTAAGGAGAAAGGCCTTAATGATTAATGCAACTCAGCATAAATGCATGTGTTTTCTAGAGCAAACAATGTAAATTAATATCCTCCCTCCCTTTCACTGAGGATGGCAATAACTATCCACCAAAAACCCTCTTTGGTTATGATTTTAAAATTTTGCTCCAATTGTAATGTTTATATAACTTCTTTCAGAGTCTCTTCAGGTCCCAAGACTAAATTCTTTGGCCTCTTTGTTCCTTTGTTCATGAAACCGAGAGGCTCAAAACATGTCTTCATGAGGGTATCTATGTGCATAGTCATGAGGAAAGTGATATTTCATTCAAGAAATGCAGAGTATAAAATATTGAAGGTAGCATACAAAGACAAGGTCCCTGTTATCTAGGTCCTGAGGGTAGAAGAAATAAGGCATTGGATACCAAGCACTCTTGTGAGCTAACTTGTGAACGGAGGGGGAAGTTTGGGAAGAGGTCATTACCTAATGAAGAAGCATCTGGAGGAAAGCAATCAGTATGATGCTGGAAAAGAGCACTGTGCCATTCAAGTGTCTAGGTCGTTTTCTCTACAGGCTGTGTGAACCCAGGCAAGTCACTGAACTCTTCACTGCCCCCCAGGTAATTCTCTAAGATTATAAATTGGAGAGAAGGTGCTAATCTGCATTGGTAGTGAAAGTTGCTCTGTACCTTGATGAACTCATAGGCCTCCTTTAAAAAAAAAAAAGCAAAAACAAAAAACTAGAGGAGCAGCTAGGTGGTGCAGTGGATGCACCGGCCCTGGAGTCGGGAGGACCTGAGTTCAAATTGGACCTCAGACACAAAAACACTCACTAGTCACTTTAACCCCAATTCACAGACACACACACCCACCCACCCACCCACCCACACCCAGAGATGTTTAGCCTAGACAAGAGAGGACTTGGTGGTGGGGAAGGGAAAGAAGGAGGGTCATGAGGACTTCATGGTAGTTGTCCTTATGTGCAGTGAAGTTGGAAGTGCTATCACTTGGAAGATGAATTAGACTTGCTCTTCTTAACCTAAGAAAGCAAAACCAGGAGGCTAATATAGAAGAAGCTTCCAAATAGAGCTATCCAGAAGTGGTGGAATAGGCTACTTCAGGAGGTATTGGATTTCCCTTCACTGAAGGTCTCCAAGCAGAGTCTGAGTAACCCCTCTGGGGGATGAGGTAGAGGAGGCTTTGGTGTTGAAATTGTATGTTGTTCTGGTCTCCCTAATCAACCACCCTCCAACCAGTTAGTATGGTAAGTATATTGGTAATTAGCATAAGGTAACAATAGTAGGAAATAAGAATGTAAAGGAGAACATAGTCACTTGAAAACTGTCTCATAAATTAAAGGAGCCTGGGGCAGCTAGGTGGTGCAGTGGATTGAGCACTGACCCTGAAGTCAGGAGCACCTGAGTTCAAATTTGGTCTCAGACACTTGACACTTCCTAGCTGTGTGACCCTGGGCAAGTCACTTAACCCCATTGCCTAGCCAAAAAAAAAAAAATTAAGGGAGCCTAGAAGCCACTTACAACTGCCATAAATTAACTGAGGCCACATCCTGAGACTATATGTTAAATTAGAGGAAGCCAGAGAGACTGCAATGTAAATGACCCTTTAGTCCCACTAAACTGCCCTCTGTAAGTTGCAGATAACCTCCAGACATGCACAGTAAAACTATCAATATGTTATATAAATGAGGAATCCCTAAGGTGATGTTGATATGTTATGAACTATGCCTAGGGTGGAATGTATAATAGTTTGTCCTCCACTACCAAAACTTTAAAAATGGGACCTCAAACTCCTGCTTGTGCATTTGATATGGGTCCATGCCATCCGAGTGCTCCCAAATCCAATCCAGTTATATAAGTGATTATCTGTGTCCTTCTTCCTCTCTCCCTTCTCTTCCCCATGCTGTCTGCCTCTTTCCACTACCCCTTCCCCGTCCATTTCCTGTCTGCTTCTATACTCTCTGTGCCTTATTAAAGTGTAATTGATGCATTACTCCCTTATTGCTGCCAGTGTGGTTTTTTCCTGTGAGCATCCAAAGAACTGGGCATATTTGCCCTGACCAAATGGGACCCTTAGGGTGGTTGCCTTCCCTTACTTCTCAATCAGAAGCACCAGGGCTGAGTTAGTCTGTTCTATAGCCACACCTTGAAGTGGACCAGCAGGAAGCAGTGAATCCATTGGGAGAAAGCAAGGATGAACAGAGAAACCTCATGCCCCCTTTTGGGATGGATCCCCTCATTGCTGGATCATAATAAATCACCTCTTCAGATAGACCAGGAGTAGTCTAACTCAAGGAGACTGGACAAATTATTTAATTTCTGTGACCTTTGGTTTCCTCATCTCTAAAATTTAGTTCAGTTCAATCATTAATCACCCATAATAACATACTTATGCTTCCTCTTCCCTAAAGTTGTTGTATCAACTAAGCTATGTGTAAAATGCCTTGTAACTCTAAAGCACTATGTAAATGTGAGCTATTTGTCTATTACTACAAATAATAATAAGACAAGAAGGATGAAAGGTTGGTTGGTTGAGAATCAGGTTGTCTCTGTGCTTTCAATTTCAGGTAAAGCCAAACCATTTCAGTCAAATGAAAATCTTTTCTGTGTCCATGGTTTGGTACAGGGATGCCTGCTAGCCAGCCAACCTCTCATTTGCTTCACATAGAATGTGACATTTGAATGTTTTAGCCTCAGCCCTTCATGATGTGCTGTGAGCCTATTTCCTCACTGGAAACCAACAGCTAAATTGCCTTATGTCTGCTGAGGTCCTTCAGAGACCTATAGATCAGCATCCACGGTGGGAGGAGGAAGTACAGTGATGGGATTGGGGATGGGGGCAGATGGTGATGAGAATCAGTTTTCCTACTCTTTGGAGAGTTAGAATTTTATTTTATTTCTGAGGATGAAAGTTGCCCTGGATTACTCCCCTCCCCCACCTTCCCCCATGCCCCTTAGAACAGGGCCTTTCTGGGGGTGACCAGTTATAGTCAGATCAACAAAGGAAAATTTCTAGTTTTCTTCCTTTTTTGCCTCCAGCCCTATTGAATACTATAATTGACATCCACTACCAGTCTCCTCCCCACCCCCTTCCTCTCCACATATAGGCACTTAATACATATTTGTGGAATTGGAATGATTGAATTGAGAAGGAAAGGGTCTAGCCACAGGTTTAAAATTACAGAAAAAAAATTAGATGTTTGCAAATATGAGGTCTACTTGATTCTTAGGGTAAAGTTCTGAGGCCTTCGCCTCTCCCCTTTGCTTTACTTCCTTGGTGGTGTTTCTCTTAGTGTCTGGAAGGAATCTCCTTGCCAGGGCTTTTCATACTGCTCTCTCCCTATACAAATTACTTGAATATGGGAAACCCTGGAGAGGAGCATGTGTGAGGAGGGG